ACTTGAAGACGATATGAGGATTCAAACAGTGACGACCGTTGCTCCTTTTATCAGGTGCCGTACTATACATAGGACCCCAAGTGAGCTGAATCGAAGACTGGCAACGTATCTTCTGGGATGATATCATGGAACCTCCAAGAATGACTTTCGTAAGGGCGGCGCAGAACCAGACTACCCTGAGGTGGGGCCCCAAAAGTGGACCCTAATAGAGAGAACTACCCATGTACAAGGAGCCAAAGAAAACTCCACTTGACTACGCCCTGCTTCACTGGTTTGTCTGTGTGGGGGGGACGTAGGTCTTGACCCCAAAAAGACCCTAAACCCTAAACCCCTAAACCTAAACCCACAAACCGTTGAAAACCGCAAGCCTCTTAGGCCCAAGCCCTAAAACCCCAAATCCTCCCAAGGCCTGAACCCAAAACCCCACAAAGCTGCCTAACCCTTAGGCCCTAGACCCTAAACCCGAAACCCACCAAGCCCTAAACAGGGTGTAGGGCTTCAAAAGAAAGGACGGGTCCGGGGTCTCGAGAACCCCAAAACCCCCAAAGACCCCAAGCCCTACACCCTAAACCCCAAGCCTTTTGCCCCAAACCCTCAACCCCAAACCTCAACCCCAGACTCTCAACCCCAAACCCTCGGCCCCAAACCCTAAACCCTCAACCTCAGACCCTAAACCCTAAACCCTAAACCCTAAACCCTAAACCCTAAACCCTAAACCACTCCTCTGGCTCCCTTTTCTCCTCGGCTTCCTTCCGCGAGCAGGGCTTGGAGAAGGGCTTTCGGGCTTTTGACATGTTAGGATAAAGCGTCGTAACAAGGTTTAGGGTTTAGGGTTTAGGGTTTAGGGTTTAGGGTTTAGGGTTTAGGGTTTAGGGTTTAGGGTTTAGGGTTTAGGGTCTGCCAGTCTTGTCAGTATTATTTGAGGGGTATATAAGGGGTCCCCATTTAGGGGCCCATGCTTGAGGGGGCAGGCCTTGCGAGTCTACAGCAAGTTGAGGGTTTAGGGTTTAGGGTTTAGGGTTTAGGGTTTAGGGTTTAGGGTTTAGGGTTTAGGGTTTAGGGTTTAGGGAGTTGAGCACTCTCAGACACCGAATAAACCCAAGGGCCATACTTCAGAACCCTGTATAACGGTAAGAGAGACCATAGTAAGGGACCATGCGATTGCCCTTAGACATAAAATCTACGTAGAAGTAGATCCTAGCCCCCCCCCCAACCAAAAAAAGCGCAAAAACAAACACGACGCATACTTGGCTGCACTTAACAGGGTAGCTATAAATTTAATCTCAAGCTGCCTTGTTAAGAAACCCAATAAACCCAAAAAGGCTAAGGATCTAAAGTTACAGTAAAGCACCCCAGAGCATAGCAAGCCTGGGGCAGCAATCTGAGTCCTTGAGCAACCTGCCTAACGAAACGATCGATGTCCCCAAACCTCCCCAAGACGGAGCCACCCCATTGTTCGGTTTAACCCTAGGGATTACTGTTTAGGGAGGGCGCTAGTGACCAGGGGAGGTTTAGGAGGTTTCGTGTTCAAGAGATGAGGGAGCCCGACGCCCTACTATGTACCCTGAACGCTATAAGCCCTAAACCCTACTGAACCCTGAACCCTAAACCCTAAACCCTAAACCCTAGAACCCTAAACCCCAAACCCTAAGCCCTCAACCCTCAACCGAACTTCCACGTCCGCAGGCCCGGCAGACCTCGTCAGACTCGATCTCACCTTGCATCGGGTGCTCCGAGGCGGGGTTTAGGGTTTAGGGTTTAGGGTTTAGGGGTTAGAGTTTAGGGTTTAAGGTTTAAGGTTTGGGGTTTAAGGTTTAGGGTGACCGAGGGGGGTAACCCTAGACCCTGTCAGGGCCCACAGTAACCCTAAACCTCAGTCGGATATCGTGCAGGAGTCGTTCAGTTGTTGCCCACTGTGCAAAGTAGAACAAGGCCACCAAAACTGCAGACCTTAAGCCCCTTGAAAAAAAAGTCCGCATAGTAAGCGTTAAGGGCTTAGGGAAAACCGTTTAGGGAGTAAGGCCATTGAGCCCAGCGCGGGTGTTCACCAGTCGACGGTCATTCGTGCTCGTCCTGCACCAGTGCGCTTACACAGCGAACCGATACCACAAACTCTAAACCCAAACCCAAAACCTGATTTCAGCCCTAAACCCTAAGCCCAAGCCCTAAACCTTAAACCCTAAACACTGCACTCTACACCCTGCACCCTAGAATCGCACAAGTCACACAAGCCTATGGGTAAAACCTAAACCCTAAAGCCTGTGCCCACCCCCCCCCCCCCCCCCCCACCGTACCGCAGGTCCTCCGGTGCGCCTCGTGCGCATAGGCTAGTCTTTACAAGTAGGGGCCCCCTGAATATAGTATGGGTTTAGGGTTTAGGGTTAGGGTTTAGGGTTTAGGGTTTAGGGTTTAGGGTTTAGGGTTTAGGGTTTAGGGTTTAGGGTTCAGGGTTTAGGGTGTAGGGTGTAGGGTTTAGGGTTTACTGTTTAGGGTTTAGGGTTTAGGGCTTAGGGTCGAGTCATAACCCGAAGAAGATGACATTTGACCCACCTTTAAGGCCCATAGAACCCTACACATAATTTGGGGGCCCTACTTGTAGGGTTCTGTGTTGAACCTGGGGTGTGAGGTTCAGGGTTCAGTGATAGGGCCGTCTTTCGCGTCTTAATATCCTACTCGTGACAAACTTTGCCCTGAACACAAGGTTCAGGGTTTAGGGTTTTGGGGTTAAACCCTAAACCCTAAACCCTAAACCTTAAACCCTAAACCCTTATAGGCTTGTAGCCGGTTGGCTCATTCCAGTGCTATTCAGCAAAGATGGCTTTACGGAGCCTTGGAGCTCCTAGCTGCATCTCCAGCCGGCAACTATTGGAGGAATTCAGTCTTGGGTTTGGGGTTTAGGGGTCTAGGGTTTAGGGTTTAGGGGTTTAGGGGTTTAGGGTTTAGGGTTTAGGGGTTTAGGGTTTAAGGCTTAGTAGGGTGCGACGCACTTCCGAGACCGGATCCACAACTGAACTCTGAGTAACCCCTACGACCCCGAACGGGAAGCTGTCCGTCGTTGTTGGGAAGATTTGCCTGTTCAAAGTACTTAGGGTAGTTACATGGTCCTTTAACATGGGCCCTTGGATTGGGTTTAGGGTTTAGGGGTTACCCTAAACCCTAAACCCTAAACCCTAAACCCGAAACCCTAAACCCTAAACCCTAGATCTGAACCCTTATATATATATATACCCTACAAGGATCAGGGAACTACCCTTAGACAAAGCGTGGGGTTGTGTGGTTAGAGGTTTGGGGCGTCCCCAAGACCGCTCAAGCTTCCCGTGGCAGCCGCGCGCCTGGCTATGCCTCTCGCAGTTTAGCGTTTAGGGTTAGGGTTTAGGGTTTAGGGTTAGGGTTTAGGGTTTAGGGTTTAGGGTTTAGGGTTTAGGGTTTACTTGGTCAGAATTGCTCCGTTGGTGCACAAGATCGGGCTGTCGGCTCCCAAGAATTCTGGGGTTCACAGGAAACCCTGAAAAACGTACCAGTACAGAATCCTAAACCCTAAACCCTGAAGCTAAACCCTAAACCCTAAACCCTAAACCCTAAACCCTGAACCCTGAACCCTGAACCCTGAACCCTGAACCCTGAACCCTAGTCCCTGAACTCTAAACCCTAGCCCTAAACCCTAAACACGAAATCCCAAACCGCTGTAGAAGAAAAACCGGAGCCTGCTTCGGAAGATCCGTAGAAGCTCTTTCAAAGTCTACAGCTATGTACAAGTATCGTCTTGCTCTTGTCACTGGGGCAGATTTGGGTGCCGTTTTACAAAAGTTTAAAACAAGAGCCGGATGGAGGCTGCATAGGGTTGTACAGGGTTGTGTAGGGTTAAAGTTGCAGGGTGAGGTAACTAGGGCGAAAAAAAGGGCTCGTATAGACAGGCTAAGGGGGTCCCTCCAATAAATATGTATTTCCAGAAACCTGAGCCTAAGCCCGACACAGCTCAAACTTGCTGCAGTCCATGAGCCCGAAATGTGAACCCTAGGTTTAGGATTAGGGTTTAGGGTGTAGGGTTCAGGGTTTAGGGTTACGGTTTAGGGTTTCGGGTTTAGGGGTTAGGGTTTAGGGTTTAGGGCTTAGGGCTTAGGGCTTAGGGTTTAGGGTTTAGGGTTTAGGGTTTAGGGTTTAGGGTTTAGGGTTTAGGGTTTAGGGTTTAGGGTACTGGGTTTACACCCTGAACCCTAAACCCTTGACTGGGCCTGTAGCGCGCGACGCGGCCCTGGCACATCTTTGAGGATGAGGGAGGGGGTTGAAAGGTTGTAGGGGTACTTGGAGGTTCATGTTACATATTAATTATAACTGTACATATAAGCCCCTTTAAGTGCCCGAATATAGTTATATGTACAGTAACAAGTACAGTTATAAATACTTGGAGGTTAGAGGTTACTTAGGGGGGTTTAGGGTTTAAGTTTAGGGCTCTAGGGCTCCGAGGGGTTCGAGGAATTAGGGTGTTAGAGATTTGGGTTTGGGACACTCGGGCTTTAGGGTTTTGGTGATATAGGGTTTAGGTAACCTTCGGCCCCATAAATCCAAAAAACCGTTTGATAATAAGGCCTTAAAACCTTGAAGTCATGCGGGGTTAGGGTTTCTTCAGGGTTTAGGGTCTAGGTTTTAAGGGTTTTGGGGATGTTGGGTTTGGGGTTTGGGGTTTAGGGTTCAGGGTTTAGGCTTTAGGCTTATGAGGTTTAGGGTCTAGTGGTTTAGGGTTTAGGGCAAGCTTAGGGTTCAGGGTTGTGACGCATCTGCAGGCTTTTTGTTGCCTGGATCAGCTCCGTTCCTGCACCTCCGGCCCCTTCCAAAGGGTACCCGCTGCTTGTGGGTGCCGTTCCTAAACCCTAAACCCTAAACCCCTAAACCCTAAACCCTAAACCCTAATTTATCCTGAACCCTAAACCCTAGCCCTGCGATTAAGGCAAGCACCGCGTGCCTGGATGCGTGGACGTAGCTCTCCGTCAAAGGCATCGTCCTCACTTATAACGCTGCAACCTGATGGAAGATACCAGTCTGACTGAGTGGTTTCCTCGCCCACAGCACTCGAACTCTGGCCGGGAGAGCGCAGCGTGCTGTGAGACCCCACTAAGCCCAGCTTTCTGCTGGAGCGTCGTCCACTTCATGTTGCCCCCTCCATGCTTCCAGAGAATGTCAACTGTTCGTTGAACCCATGCAGGAGTCTCTCCCTCTTCCTCGTCGTCGTCTTCCTCCTCCGCCTCTTCTTCTTCGTCTTCATCCTCTTCTTCCTCCTCCTTCTCTTCATTCTCACCATCTGTAAGATTCCTAGATAAGAACCTCTGAGCATCTTGTCCAGGTTTTGCATGCTGCTGCCAGTATTTTCTGCACTGGGACGGGTCTGCGGCATGCCTGGGGGCGTTGGTTGCAGCCTTCCATTGCTCCCTCCACCACACGGTGTCCTTGGCGTTCACGGAGTCTAACTTCGTGTGGCCCATGAAACTTGCCCAGCACCACATGCCAGCCTTTCCTCCACTGGCGGCACTGCATGCACACTGATTGCTTCACCATCGAGTTTGAAGTTGTCTGTGGATCCGCTTAATGTCGGCTAGGCAGGGTATAAAGTTCTAGCCAATCACGGCCCTAGGCTAGAAGATCTGTTCCGTCCCTCTCATCAACCGTGGGCTGGAGCCAGTCTAGCTGCAGGACCCCACAAGATATCACGCAATGCTCAACTCCCAGCGAAACTCTCCATCAAGACTAAACCCTAAACCCTAAACCCTAAACCCAAACCCTAAACCCTAAACCCTAAACCCTAAACCCTAAACCCTAAACCCTAAACCCTGACCCCAAACCTCAGTCCCCTAAAGCTACAAACCCTTAAGCCTTAAGCCCTGGCATGCTGGTGCCCTTTGGGGTTTGGGATGGCGAGGCTTTGAAAGCAGAAGGTTTGGGTGTAAGGCTTGGGGTTCACGCCTTAGGGCTTCAGGGTTTCTAGGGTTAGGGCTTGGGGTTTGGGATTTAGAGTTTGGGGTTTAGAGTTTGGGGGTTTAGGGTTTAGGGCTTAGGGAGGTTTAGGGTTTAGGGTTTAGGGCTTCGAGTTTAGGGTTTTGGGGCGTTGCAACTCTGGTGGCGGGTGCGGGGTTGTTGGCTTAGGGGTTCCTGACGAGCCTCGCAGACACTGGCAAGTCTCTCGCTGGGAGGTTTCATAAACGGCACACGTTCGACCCAGAAACGAAAAAGAAGCAGCCCTTGAAGGGACCCTGAACCTTAAGCACTAACCACCCTAAACCCTAAACCCCTAAAACCTAAACCCTTCAACCCCTAAACCCTAAACCTTGAACCCTACACCCTAAACCCTAAACCCTAAGCCACTCCCGGAGCATGCCCCTGTCCGCCTGCGTGGTCTGCGAATTCCTGTGGCTGTGGTGTTCTGGCGTTTTGGGGGTGTTGGGGGGGATTTGGGTGTAAGTGGAGGGTTTAGGGTTTAGGGTGTAGGGTTTAGGGTTTAGGGTTTCGGGTTTAGGGTTGCATGCGCCTTCAGCCTACGGGCAAGTTGAAGATTTGGGTCTTCGGCTTAGTACGGCTTAGTATCTGTGATGTTTCCTTGGGGGGCCGGCCGACGGGTAAGTGGGCTCTATTCCCCAAACCCTAAACCCTAAACCCTCAGACCCTGAAGTTTAGTCATACAGCGATGGATAGATGCCTCACTGCTCGCCCTTGCCCTCATTCTCTGCACTGAGATCTCACTTGTCGCACACCTACTTATGTAGGCCTGGTGCCTCTACGCCTCTCTATCTCTTAAGGTCTCGATATCTCTCGGCACAGAAGAAAATTAAGCTGTATGTATATATACATAATTCTAATGTATACAACTTTGAAAACACATCCAGCAATATCAAGCCCCACAGGCCCCCCTTAAAACCCTCAACCAGAGTTGCCTGTGCGTACTCCCACTGCAATCTCAGACCACCCTAAACCCTAAACCCTAAACCCTAAACCCTAAAGCCTAAAGCCTAAAGCCTAAAGCCTAAAGCCTAAAGCCTAAAGCCTAAACCCCAAACCCTAGGGCTCGCGCGTACCAGGCGCTCTGCGGCGAAGCCCCTGAGTCAGGGCTTGGGATGTGGGATTTGGAGTGTAGAGTTTAGGGTTTGGGGGGGTTTACGGGTTTAGGGTCTAGGGTTAGAAGTTCCTTTCTTGGGTACCTGCTGTTGTGAGTACGCACTCAGGAAAGCACCCTAAAGCCTTATCGCTAAACAACAGGTGCCATCAAATGAATAGTACTGTAGCGGGAAAAGTTCAACAAAACACCCTAAATTCCTTACAGCCAACCCATTAACACAGGTACCTTCGTAGGGAACCAAAACCCTCGACCCGAATCCCTAAACCCTAAACCCCAAACCCTAAACCCCAATGGTACCCCCAAACCCTCAACCCTCAACCCTCAACCCTCAACCCTACACCCTACACCCTAAACCCTAAACCCTAAACCCTAAACCCTAAACCCTAAACCCTAAACCCTACACCCTAAACCCTAAACCCTAAACCCTAAACCCTAAACCCTAAACCCTAAACCGACTTGAGGCACAAAGTAAGAGCGTGGAGTTGCTTTACGGCACTGACTGAAGGGACTTGCGACCCAAGATTGGCGGCTGTTAGGGTTTAGGGTTTAGGGTTTAGGGTTTAGGGTTTAGGGTTTAGGGTCGCTCAAATTCTTATTCCCTGAACCATAAGCCCTAGACCCAGAACCCTAAAACCGAAACCTGAACCCTAAACCTTGCACCCAAAACTCCCACCCCCCCTAGCCCGAACTGACACGCTAAAGGCTTAAGGTGACCCCGCCCGAAGTAATACCAGAACCTTATACTCTACTTCAGGAGTGGGACCCCATATCGATTGACTGAGAGTGTCTTCAGCCCTGTGCCCTAAACCCTAAACCCTAAACCCTAAACCCAAAGCCCTAAACCCTAAACCCTAAACCCCCTGGCAAGGCTTTTAAGGGGAATCTCGCAGCGGCAACGCCTCGTCGTTCGAGATTTTCCGGCTCGGCGGATTGGATCCATCGCTCGACCTCGCGCGGCTGAGGGTTTAGGGTTTAGGGTTTAGGGTTAGGGTTTCGGGTTTAGGATTTAGGATTTAGTTTTCTAAGGATAGGGCTTAGGATTCAGGGTTTTGGGTGAAGGGCTGCTTCTTTCGGCTTCAGGCTTGTTTTTTGGGCTTTAAGGCTGAGGGTTAATTCGTATGGCTTTCAGGTTTGTCTCGGGGTTTAAGGAATTCGGGTTTCAGGGTTTTGAAAACTTGGTTTTGGGCTTTACGGCTTTACACAGGCTCTAAGGATGTAGGTTTGCTTTATGTTTTCGGGTTTGTCTTATAGGTTTTGCGGGCTTGAGGGTTTGAAAGGGCTTTGAGGGTGGCAGCAGTTGGGAGCCATTTTAGCACTCGAAATCCGCGCAAGCCCGAAATCCTAAAGCCTAAAAGCTTAAACCTTATATCCTTGGCTGCACTTAGCAGGGTAGCTATAAATTTAATTTCAAGCTGCCTTGTTAAGATGCCCAACAAACCCCAAAAAGGCTAAGGATCTAAAGTTACAGTCAAGCACCACAGAGTATCTTAAGGGATGCCCGAGATGGGGGGGCGCAAGAAGCCTGTGCTCTGCGATCGGGACTCAACCCTGAGCCCTAACCCAAGGAGGTTTAGTGGTTCAGCGCCACCCCGAACCCCGCAAACCCCGTAAACCCTGCAAATCCCGTAAAACCCTGCAAAGCCCTGTAAACCCTAAAGCCCGTAAACCCTGCAAAGCAATGTAAACCCTAAACCCTGTAGACCCTGCAAAGCCCTGTATACCCCTTGTAAACTCTAAACCCTAAACCCTAAACCCTAAGCCCTAAACCCGGCTCCCCGATATTCCTAAACCCGCAACCCTGCACGAGCATCCGACTCGGTCGGGTCCCAGAAGAGGTCCTCCGCGCAGCAGGAATTTGGTGGCTAAGGGTTTAGGGTTTAGGGTTTAGGGTTCAGGGTTCGGGGTTTAGGGTTTAGGGTTTAGGGTTTGGGCTTAGGGGGCCCTCAATAATCGCGATCATGACTTCTACTATGAATATCATTAGGGTTCTGGCTGCTTCGATGGCTTCACTCATCTTTAGGGTTCAGGGTTTAGGGGTTTAGGATTCATTTTTTTGCATTCTTGGGTTCAGGGTTTAGGGTTTAGGGTTTAGGGTTTAGGGTTGAGGGAGCACCTACAATGATGACTATCGTATTAGGGGCTGCACTGGGGATGAGGGCTTCGGGTTTAGACCCTGTTCCGGTTTTTGAGACATGCTCATGTAGCTTCGGCACCAACTGAATCCTGAAAGGATCGCGGGGTGGGACATAGGGTTTAGGGTCTAGGGTCTAGGGTTTAGGTTTCATAGAAATATGGGAGGTCGGGGGGGTTCTCGAATCAGGGGTCCCCGCTGGGGCGCTATGCATACGCAGGAAGAATCGTAGCGTAAACGCCAAACCCTAAATCTTGTAAAGTTTCTGGGGTTTCCGGTTTAGCCAGGGACCCTAACCACCCTTGCCCCCAAGATTGGGGGTTCCGTGTTTCGGGCCCGAGACGCTCCAACAAATCCTGCAGGTTGGGGTTTAGGGTCTACCCTAAACCCTAAACCCTAAAACCCTTAAACCTTAAACCCTAACTCAAAGGTGAACTCACTAACTTCGAACCCTAAACGACTACTTTGTCGGAAATCTTGATGTTCCCCCGTATACTAACAGTCCTCAATTTGAATCCCGTTTAACAGGGACTCTAGTGCCCCCCTATTATAATCCCGATTAAGGACGGTTCGTATAAAGGGGAACATCCCAAATAGTAATCCATTTATTGCACTCAGAAGGAAGACTGTTTTGAAATCTGCTTTGGCCCCTTCAAGCCTCTGAAAACATATTCCGGAATATGACCCTCTTAAACCCAAGACGGGAAAACATAAAATGTCCGAATCCCTCCACCCTAAACCCTAAAACCTCATACAACCCTAAACCCAATAAGAAGGGCCTACCCAATTCAGCACATAGTAGTAAACCTAAACCCTAAACCCTAAACCCTAAACCCTCAACCCTAAACCCTAAACCCTCAGGAAACCTTGCGGCTAAGAGCGAGGCCTCCGGTGTTTTCCGGGACGACGTTCGCCGTCGCACCCGCGTCGTGGACTGGGTTCCGGGTTTCGGGGTTTAGGGTTTAGTTGGGCGATTGGACTTTGGAGTTTATGGGTTTGGGGTTTCAGGGTCTGTGGGTTTAGCTAAGATTTAGGGATCAATGTCGTTTCGAGGAGTGCGGTCGTCGGTCGGCCCTCCACCTGTCTGATCTTGGCTACTTCCCTAAACCCTAAGCCGATGTCCTCCTCGAAGCCGAAATACTAAACCCTCAACCCCTAAACCCCGACCCCATAAGCCCTGTAAATTGTCTGAACACATTACCCTCCTGGACCCTGTAAATAAACCCCATGAATCTCTCTGAACCCTAAACCCAAACTTTTAAAAC